TGAGACTGGGGCAGTTTCTTTAAATTCTGAAGTATGATTCTACTCCAAATGAATGGATCTGATATCAATGGGATTAGTTTAAGAAGCAAGTATTCCCAGTAGTATTTGTACCACTGGGGCTAATACTAGTAATGTGGCTACATTGAATGGGTTCTGAGCCCTACAAGGAGGAAAACCAAAAAGTCAGAAGAAAAATTGATAATGAAATAAAAAATAAATAAATCCCAAAGCAAAACACGCCTATAGCTTCAGAAATCATCATCATCATATTAACCTTATACAAGATGGCAAGAGTGAGAGCAAGTCTTTGTGGCAATGTCTATAGTTATGCTCATTTAGACTGCTAATTTGGAAATATTTCCTTTTAAAAAAACAAGACTGTTTTGCAGCTTGATTTCCCACAATAAGGCATCATTTTTCCTTCTAATTCATGTACGCCACACGTCCTATTTCTGAACTGCGATTTCCTTTGAAAACAGCTTGTCTGTGGAAGGTTCCATCTAAATGACTAATTGCTGTATACTTGTGACAGGAAATATTGCTCAGAAAGCAGCTCCAGCTCTATACGCATTGCCTAGGCTATGCTCTTCAAGCCTGCCTAACCCTGAGAACCTTGTTTGATTGTGCACAGATGTGTATTGTTGAGTGTGCACGCAGTGTATCTACCAGCATCTGAAAACTAGAAAAAAGCACTGCTGACTAGAAAAATAGGGAGACATCTAACTCCACCAAGACTGGGAGAGGGGTATAGAGGGACAGATTAAAGAGTAAGGAACATTTTTCTGGTACTTCTTCCCTCTTCCCCCAAATAAAGGCAGTTGGCATGAATGGTGTGCAGACCACAGACTTTGATGTGTCATGTTTGTTCTGAAGAGAGAAATTTTGGGGCTATCATTTTCATTTCCCACTGAAGCTTAGCTGCATGCATCATATTTTAATCTTGTTTGTGAAACAGGAAAGCAAGAATACTGGTGTGGTTCTATGCCATTGCCATCAGCTAATTACAGCCATTAAATCTGTTCCACGTTTACAAGACATCTCTTGCACATAAATGGGGGCAATGGAAAATACAGATTGCCTTCTCCCCTGTGCATCGAATGAAGAAAAGACTAAAATTTAAGTAAAAGAATATGTGAGAAAGAGAATTCAATACAAACTTATCACAAATAAGACATGCACAAAAAGAAGTGTTTGTAAACTTGTTGTTAAATTGGGATTCAAACATAATTCGTATTCCAAAAAGATTTTTTTAAAAAATGGATTGAAACCCATAATTACTTTACGAGTTGCTATAATAAATTATTGATAATGTAAATTATTTCACAGGAAAAGAACATAGAGGAAACATGAGCAGAAGGATCATCCATTATGTATAATAAGGAACTGTAAAAATATTGTAGCAGCACATTTGTGTTGCTATAGTTAAGTTGTGTCAGCATTGTACCACCTTATTTTCTGTGGTTAATAACATGGTTGTTAAAATTTACTCTGTGCCATCTGAGGAACACAGTTTTAGTTACAGCAATTTAAAAAGTTTGTGACCATTTTGAAGCCATAAGGGTGGAAAAAAATGTCAAAGTTTCCTATGCTGTGTGTGTGTGTGTGTGTGTGTGTGTGTGTGTGTGTGTATGCACATATGTGTGGCTTGTGCTACTGTAATTCAAAATCAGGTCAGCTATTTCATATAAAACATGGTTGGACCCTTCATAGTCTGTAATGTGGACTTAAACCCTTTTAAAATGAACAGTTTAAATTTGGCTACCGTGAGAGTTCAATGTTATGTTTTATGTTTCTGGCACTCTTGGGAGTTGAGGGGCTTTCTGCCCAATGAAGCACCCTCACAGGAGGAGATGCACTGCTGTGTCCATTTGCTGGCTTTTAGGGGTTACTGAGTGGAGCCAAGTCCAGACTGTCACTCTCTCTTTTTTTTTTTTTTAATCTCTGGTGGGGAGTTGGTGGAGCTCCAGACCTTGGGAGTCTGCAGTTGGAGTTGGAAAAAGGAGCCTGGGCTATATGGGGTACAAGGGGGCAGCCCATCCAGTTCTCACCACCACCCCCTTTCTGCAGGCATTCCCAGGACAGTGTCTGCTGCTATAAAAGTGAGGTGAGCTTGGGCTTTAGGTTATGCAGATTTTGTTATTGTTTTGGGAGCCAACAAAATTGTCATGCCGCCTGCAAGAGAGAGATGAGAAACAGCAGTTTTTAAACAGATACTATCTCAGCAAAGGCTGAATAGAATTTTGTGGAATTTTTCAGAGAAATGGCATTTCTTTAGCTTGAAGATACTCTCTCTGCCAAACAGAAGACTGCTACAACATTGCAGGTGTGAGTACTTCTGAAAGAAAAGGGTGTGAAGCAATCTAAATATAGGAGTCACTGTCAACACCCCTTATAATATTGGGCTACCACTGGAAAGACTTGTAAGAAGGGGATGAGGAATATGTGGGATTCATGAGGGAAGGAATTTCCCCAGTCAGAGGGTTCAGCTCTTGTAACTTGTGGATTTCTGGAGATTTGCTGCAGTCATACAATAGAAGCATGATAACAAGTTCTCCTGACCTACTGACCATAAAGGGGACCCTGATGAAAAAGTTAATGCATCCTCATAGTGCATGGCATTTCCACAGAATCCCTAAGTGGGATACAAAGATCCACAGAACACTGCAGTTTTAAAAGAGATCTAAATCTGCTCTCTCATTTTGTGCCTGCAAATTATTGGGGGCAGAGATTTGCAAATTTAACTAAATGCAGGCATTGAGAATGCAATGAAATATGTACCTGGTGACACCTCCAGGTACCGTCATTTGCATCTGCAAATAAATGAGCCTACAATTGTATTTCTGAGCACAAACGAGAGGTCAGGTGTAAAAAAATCAGGCCTTGACTCATTTTAATGTATTAGCAATTTCAGAACACGTTAGTGCTCACCTTTAAATATCAAGTAGGACATATCTGGAGGGAAAAATCAAATTGCATCATCTAGTCACCATATGTGAAAAGCTTTACTTTTCTTGATTTATAATGGAAGGAAGGTGCTCATGAATCTGCAATGGAGGTGATGAAAGTGCATTATAGAAGTACCTTTTATCCTTTAACAGTGGATAGCATTACAGAATAGTGGAACAATTACTGTAATTGTGAACTGATTAACTAAGGCTTCTCGAGCCTATAGGCCATATTCATTATTGGCCCACCCTTTTGCCATCAATATATTTGTCCCATAAATATTAATTGATTACAGGTGGAATAAATGTTATGTAGAGCAGTGCCCCTTTAAAAAAATTATAAGTATCCCCTTTAAAAAAAATTATAAGTACCCCCAGTACCCACAGTTTTCAGACACACAACATTTTTTTTCTACCATTGCAACACATTTGTTGCAACTTAATCGTAGTCGGGTGGGTGATGAAATTTTGGGGTGTAAAAAGTATAAAAATAATAAAGTGCTATAAAACTTAAAACAAAAATTCAGTTTTCTCCAAATTTCCGTTGTGTTGATGTACCCCGCAGACTTCTCTCGAGTTCCCCTGAGGATAGTCATACCACTGGTTGAGAAACAATGATGTAGAGGACCAGCATAAGGTGTGTTTGCCAGTTAGCCCTAGCCCACCCTCAGACTGCAATTTTGTTCCTACAGATTATATCTCCTGCAGTATAGGTTTCTTGACCATCTAAATAACTGCTTTGCAGGCACAATAAGTTACTCAGAAAGCCAAAGGATATAATCTGGAATTTCCATTAGCTTTGCTTGAACATTACTTATGTGGAATTGGAGTCCAGCTTCCGAAAATCTTTTCAAAAGGGTCCAAGAGTGGATTCTTTTACCCACTTTCTGAGTTTTGGGTGAGCAAAGAATTAAATTCTTAATGTAGTTTATCTGAGGAGCACAGTGTTCTTTTTTTGGTATTAGGGCCTAATTTCTGCCAGATACTCTTGTCAGATATTTGAGTATGAATCCCATTGTGTGTGTAGGAGTTGGGTGTATGTAATTATGAGCTGAATTTGATATTAGATTTCAATTGGAGATATGCTGGTTTATGAAGGAGAGAATAGATCCCACAAATCCCCTAAACATTTCTAATACTATAGAAATAAGGTAAATAATGTAGAACTGCATTTTTGGGGAATCCAGATGCACTGATTATTCTGATTTTAAAAGCACAGTGTCAAGGTATTTTTCATCATCTGTAAGATGTATGACCTTTTAGTAACTTGAAGGTGAAATCTGTACCCCTGCCAAACAGTTGCATCCCCCCTCTTCAAAGGAAAAATAACAAGGAGTCCTATGGCACCTTAACGACTAAAAAATGTATTTGAGCATAAGCTTTCGTGGGCTAGAACCCAATTTCTCAAATGCATGTTCCAAGTGGGTTCCAAGTGCCACAGGACTCCTCATTGTTGTTGCTGAAAGACTAACATGGCTATCTGTCTGAAACTTCTCAAAGGGGTGCACCAGTATGCTTTGAAGGTTGCTTATAAATTGTAGGCCACAGCTGATTATGTATTTATTTTTATTTTATAAATATATAGCATTTAATTTATTACAGAAAGCAAGCAAAAAATGACATAGCTTGTGCAAACAATTACAAGAAAAGAAGTCAGACATTTCTGGTCCAAGCTTGAGCTTTTCAGCTCAGAGTTTCCTTAAAGAAACCTTAGCATCACAGCTTATTGGGTTTTTCAGCAGGCCACATTTTTCAGATCTGTTTAAAGATCTGTAAACTTCCCTTTAACGTTAATGCTCTAATTTCAGAAGATATTTTTGGTTCTGGTAAGAGTTGGCATTTCCTAATACAAGGCAGAGTGAGGGGCGCTCATGTCACTGAAGAACCAGTAAGATGCATAGCTAGCATGTAGGTAGAAAGCAGCGACTTTTGAAGAGATTTTGTAGAGATAATAACCTAGCCCCCTTCAACTGTTGTGGTGCTTGCCTCTAAAGGTAAGACCAGGTTATCCAGAAACATGTTTCAACATGCTTTTTGCTAGAATAGATCTAACAGATGTCTTGGTTCATGGACATATGGGTAAGTTATGTTATAGTCAATTTTACAAAACCTTACTGGAGATTAGGGACTAGGTCTTGTTTATAGCAGGTGAAAAATGTTTATGAAATAGTTCATAACATAGTTAGAGGCTGTTAAAAACTTGGTCCTAGAAACAGCCTGGTTTATACATAGCTCTGTGACTTAAATCCAACATGGAGTGTAGTCTCAGTAGCTGATTTGGGGTGAGTGAGGAAGTCTTAGAGATTAATCAAAGGCTAGGCAGGCAGTGGTGTGAAGGAGCAAGATGATGCTAAGGAACATGATGCTAAGGAAAGCAGGAGAGATACCTTTCTTATTTAGGGCTGCTTCTGGCCATCAGGGGTACAGAAATCAGCTTCTTTCTTCAGCACTAGCAGCTGCAGTATCTCTTTACTCACTTGTAACTCTTTTAATGGTGTGAGACCTAAATTATTTTGAAATAACTAGCTTTCAAATGGAAAATGAGTAATATTCCTTCTTTATACAACAAATTTTGTACTCTTCATAATTAGATGATATAAATCTTAACTTTTTGCCTTGAAGGAAAGTTCAAAATATCATCATGACAATGGTGATTTAACAGATTACCAAAGGTCTGAAGAGTCGCTAAATCATATTTCATATGTGAGCAGTTTGAGAACCAACTTTCTGACATTTATTAGTTTTGGGGAAAAAAAAAGTAAAAAAGGCCAGCACGCCCTAACATTAAAAGCACAGGATGTGTTGGCTCTAGTTGAGGCTTGTTCGTGGCTCGGTACTTAACAAAGCTAGTGTCAACCACAGCTGAGCAGACAAGTCCTAATAGCTGTCAACCACAGCAGATGTAGATGAAACATTAAAATTAATAAGCAGGCCACGGAGAACAATAGTGTTGCTACACCTCCAGCATCTTTTCACCCACAAGTCTGAAGTGCTTTAGGTTCTTAGCTTTTTGCAGAAAACCACATTTTTTTGGAATCTTTAGGTTTATGTCATGAAATAGCACCATGTGTGAGAACAAAAGAATGCAGGGCAAATAGTCGTCTGAAGCTTGGGTCATCATATGACTGTTCTGCTTTGATCACATAGGGCTTCAGATCCTCTGTAGTTAACCAGGTTAATTTGTGCCTGTATTAAAGGCGCAAAGAATATGCGGCTTGAAGGCAAACCAGGCTTTTCAAGGTTAGAGAAATAAAGCCAAAGAAGTGAGGTTCCTAAAATGTAACTTACTTAAAAGAAAAGATACTGGGCCAAATTCATTACTACATAGTTCCTCTGAAATCAGTGACGCTTCAATAGGGATGAATGTAGCCCTATTGTTATCCTTACACAGAAAAGTTATTTCTGTAGCTCTCCAAGACAATGGACGATGATACAGCTTTAATTTGCCTTCTCAGGAATAAACATAGGGCCTATACTCACTGAAATCAGTGAGGGTGTATCTCCACTGGAAGCTAGGAATGTGATTCCCAGCTGGCGGAATCATGCTCAGACTAGCTCTCAGTGAGCAAGTATGCTAAAAGTAGAATGTAGCTGCAGAGCACCAAGATGGGCTAGCTTTCCTGGATACATAGCTAGAGCCTCCGACAGGCAAGTAATCAGGGCGGCTAGTCCATCTTGCTGCTCATACTCTGCAGCTGCCATCTGGGTTTAGTGCACTGGCTGGATGAGGGCTAGTGTACGTCTCCTTGGGCTGGGAATCATACTTCTAGCTCCCAGTATAGACATATCCTGAGAGTTTTGCTATTCATTTTAAAGATAGGTGAGATTGAGCCATTCAGGACTTGATCCAGAACCCACTGAAATCCATGGAGACTCCAACATGGACTAGGGATGTTAAGGAATAGTCGACTATCCGATAAGCAAATGCTTATCAGGTAGTCAGTCGACTAGTTGACTAATCGATTTCAGACAGAGGCAGCAAAGGAGGGAGAGGAAGGGGTACTTCAAAGGGGCAGCGCTGCACAGCTGAGCCGGGGATCAGCTGTGTGGTGCTGCTGCTCGTGGAGCCTAGGGTCCATTTCCAGTGTGGCTTTTCCATGGAACCCGGGATCAGTTGCGAAGTCCCCAGCTGACCCTGGGTTCTGGGGAAATGTTGTGCGAACCCCCGGCTCCACGTGGCATTTCAAATCGGCAGCGCAGCATGGAGCCTGGGGTTCCCCACTGAGTCCCCTGCTGACCTTGGGCTCCATGCTGTGCTGCCGCCTGCTGCATGCGGAGTTCCACGTTCCTCCTTTGAAATGTACATTTCAAAGGAGAAATGCAGAAGTGCCAATTGTCGAGTCGAGTCGAAATTCCATCGATTACTTGGCCACTAAATTAACCTTTACTTAACATCCTTAAAGTGGACTGGTTAAATGAGATAGCACATGTCAAACAGTTACCCAGACACAAGCTAGGATTTAATAATGTCGCAGCCTTGGTTTGGAGTGCTGGATCAGTTTGGCCATGTGCCCCTGTATGATTGGACAGCCTGAAAGGCTGGAACTTCTTTTTAACCTGCTGCCACTTCATGCCTGCCTCTCTCTCTTTTGTGCTAGGATATTGCACCGTGAGCGGTAAGGAACTGTTTTTACACTTCTGCAACACTCAGAAACAGAGAGACAAGTAAAGGAAAATTACCATATTTACTTGATCATAAGCCCATTTGTTGATAAGCTAACATTTAAAAAAGAAGTAAAAATTGAAATTACCCATTCATAAGCCGACTGTATCAGCGGTTTGCAAACTTTCAGTCCCAGCTCGTCAGTTAAGCCAATGGCACGTCAGGATGTTTGTTTACCTGCAGCGTCTGCAGGTATGGAATTCACAGCTCCCAGTGTCCATGATTCACTTTTTCTGGCCAACAGGAGCAGTGGGAAGTAGGGGTATGTCTAGACTACAGGCTTCTGTCGACAGAAGTTTTGTCGACAAAACTTCTGTCGACAAAGAGCGTCTAGACTACATTGAGTTCTGTCGACAAAGCAAGCTGCTTTGTCGACATGGTAGTGTAGACGCAAAGGACAGTTTACATGCAATAACACCTTCTGTCGACAGAAACTCTGTCGACAGAAGGCGTTATGCCTCGTAAAATGAGGTTTACCAGCGTCGACAAAACTGCTGAGTTCTGTCGACGTTATGTCGACAGAACTCAGCGGTAGTGTGGACGCAGGTATAGTTTTGTCGACAAAAGTCTACTTTTGTTGACAAAACCCTGTAGTATAGACACACCCTAGCAGCCAGCATGTCCCTCAGCATGCACCGCCTTCCTACTCACATTGGCTGGGAACAGCAAACAGCAGCCAATGGGAGCTAAGTGGCTCTGGGCCTGCAGACACCCCAAGTACATAAAACATCCTGATGTGCCAGTGGTTTGCCCTGATGGGCTAGGAACTGAAGTTTGCCGACCCCCCCAGGTTAAAAAAAATTGGTAAAACACAATGACCTGTACATAAGATGACCTCTGCTCTTTACTGCGTCATTTTTTAGCAAAAAAATTGGGCTTAAGATTGAGGATATATGATATTCATTGTCAAAGTTCTCTGGCTTTTGTGGTTTAATGTTACAATTTTAAGGTGCTTAATTGCAGTATTTTATATCACTTCCTTTTCATTGGAGTGTTTAAAAAAGAAAGGTTAATTGGAGGACAGAGAATTTCTTTGACCATAGGTTTTAAAAACTTCTATAAAATTACTTTCTGGGTTATTTTCTTAGTTTTTCCTGTGTTGTTGGGCAATTCACTTAATTGCTGTGTGCCTCAGTTTCCTCTCCCACCCTTTGTCTTTTCCAGGTAGTTTGTAAGCTCTGGAGGGCAGAGACAGTCTCTTATTATGTGTTGTATAGCCCCTAACACAATGGGACTCTAACCTCAACTGGGATCTTGAGGTGCTTCTGCAATAGAAGTACAAAAGCTACAATAATAATCTCCCAGACAATGTCAGTCTGTATTATAGAAGTTTTGAAAGCTATTTCATGACTAAAGAGGTGCCACAAAGGTGCATCTGGTATATTCTGCAAATTCAGACATGTAGGATAAAAAATTAGGAAAAAAATATTGGACGTATGCAATAAGCAACCTGGCATTTTCAGTTTTATGGTTAAAGTTAAATCCAAAAGTAAGTGGCTTGCGGGCCAGCAGTATTTCTTTTTTAAGTAACTAAGGGTACGTCTAGACTACATGCCTCTGTCGCCAGAGGCATGTAGATTAGGCTACCAGACATAGTAAAATGAAGCGGCGATTTAAATAATGGGATGAGGTTTACCTGAGTGGTCGAAAAATACCTTTGATGTCGACACCCACGCGTCCAGACTATCGCGCTGAGCCGACAAACAGCTAATCAGCTGTTTGTCGGCTCAGCGCAGCAGCCATGTAAATTTAAATGAAGCGGCGATTATTTAAATCGCCGCTTCATTTTACTATGTCTGGTAGCCTAATCTACATGCCTCTGGCGACAGAGTCATGTAGTCTAGACGTACCCTAAATGAACTAACTCATTTTTGTTAATTAAAATGGGGAAAAAATCACCTGAGATTGGTGAAATTTTGTATCTTCTGTCCTGTTCATAAATGGGCAAATGTTCTTGAACAAAGCAGTTTGCTTTTCAGTTGAGGTACACTCCTGGTAAATTTTATTCTGGAACAAATTTCTGCATCCTTAAATATAGCACTAGGAAGGGCTCCCATACAATTATGTTTAGAAGATGAAAATCCTGTTCTTAAAATAACTGCAAAACCCTTTTTTTTCTTTTTGAGTCCATTTAAAAACAAAATCTCTGCAACATCCTTTTTCTTAGTTGACCATCCAATCAGTTTCAAGATTAACATTTATTTGCTGTGAAAATATTTTTGTGGGTTATCATGTGATATTTAAAAATAATAATCTAGTACTAATGGACTACAAGCAGGCTAAAACATATGACAATCGTCATGCTATAAATCTTCAGCCCAGAGAAAACCCTGCTAAATATGGCTGACTGAAAATATATTGAATCATTTATATGGGCCACCATACTGTAAAGGACCTTACACAGTAGGAATATTGCTATCACCTTGATAGCAGACTTCATATGCAAAGGGAATTCATATGTTCCACTGGTAAATAGTACATGTTGCAAGGTTTGTTCTAAAGTGCAAAGGAAAAAAATCTTAAGTGTTGCTCAGAAAAATACTGTCTTAGATTTTCTTGGTAATGTTTAAAGATTTACAGCTGTTTGTGCAAAAGTGATGTTGAAAGAGGAAGGTGTTCTGTATCCTCTTCTTGTAGCTCACTAAGGCCTTTTGTGAAATGTCACGTCTAGGACCTGAAGGTCATGGCAGCTTGCCATTAAAAATTAGCTTCTATTTCTGTTTCTTTTGTCTGGTGATCTGTCCTGAGAAATCTCTCTGTTGGCTGCATTAATAAGAGAGGGATTAATAAAGATCTAAACATAGATGTAATTGTTTAGTGTATTTATCTCAATCTTCACTGAGTTTATTAAAATGAAAAAGATGGCAATGGTTAAAATAGAACCGAATTAATAACTATGGCCACAAACAACACTGGGCTCTTCAGTTACTAAGTGGCATTCTCTTGGAATTAGAAATAATAAAACTTGCCTAATGCAGTGAGAAATGAAAGGACATCAACCTAATTAATTTCCAAATTTGATCTCTTTGACTAAAATGATCATTATATGTTGGGGAATATTCTATATTATTATTTATTTATTATTTGCATTGTGGTAGTGCCCAGAGCTGTCGATTAAGACTATCTAGCTCTTTCAAAATCAGCATTCAATTGCTTAAGTAAAAACAAAATCACATTATTTTGATATGAGCACATGAAAACTCTGCAGCAACAGTTAACTGATATATTTTGCCTCTGTTTGCAGAAGCAGCCTACAAAAACAGTTACCAGTCATGCATGGTTAGGTGATTACTTTTTTCCATCACGGCTGTTGATGGCATACGTCTTACACAGTTTTCCTGTTGAGTGTGAATAGGATGTTTTTAAAGAACTTCATTAGCCTTAACCATATTGTAAAAAATGGGTCAAATTTTCCTCACTTGAATAGAGTCATTGACTTCAGTAAGACTGTCTTCACAAATATGATCAAAAGGATTTGCCCTGTGCTCCTAAGTGGTCAACAGCAAGCTATCCAAACATAGTTGAAACATGGTTTGCAGCCTTCTTTTTGGTAGCGGCAATTGGTGTTCCAACCATAACCATAGCTGTAAATATTTTCAGACATAATTGTGAGCCATTGCATGGTTAAGCCATCACAAATGCTATCGCAGAGTCATTCACCAGCTACATGCCAGCTGACAGAGCAGATATATACACATGGAGAAATACACAACAGGAGGTCATGTTGGCTTTTGTTCTGCTATATTAAAAATGCATTAAAAATCTCAAGTGAAATGGACAAAATTGGCTTGGAAAGTAATTTTGATGTGGGTTTGTTAAAAGAAAAAGAAGGGGAAATAGAAAAAAATAAGCCTATATTGATATGTCCCTTTAAATGAGGAAGTATTTAATTGCTACATTGCTATGTTTATCACAAAGTGTGAACAATCTATTGCACTATTTATGACTGAGAATCTCAAAGGAACCTAAAAGACAATAAGTACTCATCTCCCACTGAAATTCAATAGGACATGAGTGCCTTATTCCCTTTGTCCAATATGAAAATCCCAGCCCAATATATTATTTACATAATTATTCTCATATGAACATAGTTTAGAAAGGCTACTTTGAATTCTGAATAGGATACTTTGAATTCTGACTCAACATTACATGCTACTAGCAAAGTAAGGGCCAGCATTTTCAAATATGTGTTCACTTCAGTGAGAACTGCGGCTAACCAGCAGGTATGATATGAAAATAAGTCCATTTATTTAGGTGCCTGGTTATGGATAAAGATGACTGATACTAGGCATCCATTTTTGCAATTTTTTTACCAAGGCAATTCAATTCTAATAGCGTGCTCCTCATATTGATAAAGTCACATTATGTGTTGTTTCTCCTATGTTACCCTGCTCTAAGATCATTAAAAAAATAGAATAGGTGCAAGAACTATCCTCTTGACCTCGTCGGAGCTTACATTCTTAGCTGATGTAAATTTGTTTTGCTTCATTGATTTCAGTGGTGCTACACCACTTTACATCAACTAAGAACCTGGCCTTGACATTTAATTTTAATTTTATCTTTCCTTTAGACTCTTGTAACTTTGCAAACCTCTGAGATAATGGTTGCTTAGAGTCTAGAACTAAACACATGATTCTTAGGCATATTTTATCGGTCAGATAAAGTAATTATTATATGCTTTTATAAAGCAAAGTTCACGTTAGCTAGTTCATTTGGTATAGTCTCTTCTCATAGCACTTTCGCTATATTAACATTTTTGCTGCTGCTGACATTAGCTATCTGTCTGTCCATCCATCAGAAAGCAATCACTTGGCAAGCACTCTGAGAAACCATCTTCCAAAGGTTAACTAACTTATATTGGAAATGTCCGGTCTGTTATTTTTAGTAAATGGACATTGAAAAATGAACCCTATAATTAATTCATGCTAATATGTGTGTGTATAGATATAACAAGGTGTATAATTTTTTAATCATTTCTAAACTAGAAAATGACAGATGAAGAGAT